CTGGCTTGTTCTCGTCCCCCCCCCCCCATTTTCCAATGCTGACCACATTGATACCCTCCCCCCCCCAACGTTGCGGCGCCCCTCTGTTAGTCCCAGAACACTTCGGGAAAGTCTTGGCCAACCTGGTGGGACCGCGTAACGTCCGACCCCTCACGGAGGCGAGAAGGGCATACGTCAAGGCTCACCCCCGCCCGGAGCTTCCGCCCCCTCCGTCTCAAGAGCAGCTCTTGCTAGACCGACAGCTGATGGAAATGTACAACGTGATCTCCCAGAAGCGGTGCGTTGTTGTTTTGGAGGGTAGAGTGCCATTGCCTCTGCTTGGTCCTTGGTGCTTCTCGTTTTTTCTTTTTCTTTGTCAGTTTGTCAGCTAGTGTAGTGGCTGTTTGTCACGGGTGCTCGTGCATGTATGACGTTCGCATGGTCCCCATCTGTAATGGTGGGTGTTAGCAAGGCGAAGATCACGAGGGGCGTTTGGACGATTGTGATGATGATGGCGACGATAGCATACATGGCATTGCATAACATAGCACAGCATAGCAGGCACAACACAAGGAAAGAACGCGGGTTTATCTCGTCTGTGAAGACTGGGATGTGGATTCGGATGTAGCATTCTTCATCTGACAGCAGTACACCCATGGTTCCCCTCGTATCGAGGTACAGCAGACCACGGAGAGAACGTACTGCAGGCATTCGACGCTGTCCTTCTTGTTCTTGTCGTTAAAACGACCCTCACACACCAGTTCTTCGAAACGCACCACTCTCTTACCTTTTTTGTTTTTTCTGTCTCTACCATCGTGTTCTTTCATCACGTGCGTGCATGCCTTTCCACGTTCCTTGTTTCCTCGACCCTCGACTCAACACCTAAACTCAACCGACGACCGACTCGCGCAGGGTCGAGAGGGAGGAGAACGACCCTAGGTGGGAGAGCGGCAGGGTCAAGCCGGACGACGGGATGCGAGACCTTGGCGAGCTGTTCGAGGAGGCCCCCTCTGAGGACAGCTACCCGGAGTACCACGCCAAGGTCAAGAACATCATGGACCTCAACACCATTAGGACAAAGGTTTGTATGTTGTGTGTGTGTTCTTTCTGTTTTAACACAGCGAATCCAGCTATGTAGGTGTTTTGTTTGAAGTTTTAGCATCGGCCGCGCTGCTGCTGTAGCCGGCTGACCAAATGAGAAGACGCCGGCCTTACACACAACGGGATTATAAAATGCAACGTGCTTTCTCAAAGAGTGCTACAGACCTGTCTACTGTTTTTGTTTGTTGTGCTTGGCATGTTTGGTGGAAAGTTAAGTGTACTGCGCACAACAAAAGGTCGGGGTCAGGAAACAAGGTGTACTGCGCACTCTGGCCTTCTGGCTCTTGGGACCGATCTGGGTCAGGGTTAGGATTATCCTTGTGCCGTTGGCGTGTGTGTGTGCTTTTTCAACACTAGAGTTTTTTGTGACGTCCTCTGCCGTAGCGAAGTGAGCGTCTTTTTCTGCCCGTTCGGTTCTGCTTGCCTTTTTCTTTGTTGTTCGTTTTTTTTCCCTTGTTTTTTTGGGATGAGAAGCACGCGCTTCTTCATTTGCGCGCGATACGTACACTCCAGGGCACACGACACGTTTTTTGTTTATCTTGTGGTCGCTCGGGTGTGTTTGTTACATCCGTGGGGCATCTCTCGTTTTGATGTGCATGGAACCTGAAAAGAAGACCTCTTTGTCAATCTATCGCGCCCGTGGGCAGGTCCTGGACAGGGAGTACTCTTCTGTGGAAGGGCTGCTGTCCGACGTGGCTCTCATGTACTCTAACGCTCAGGTCATCAGGCACGAACAGGTAAGCGAGAAAAACGGGGGATTTCTATTTGAGAACAGTACGAGAGGAGTTTTGGTCGGGGGAGAGAGAGAGGGGGGGGGGGGGGGGGGGGGG